ATAACACCTTGACACCCCACCCCCCCACCCCAGAGCCCTGCTACCCAATGGATTGCCCATGAACCAGTCAGTAGCCTGGGATCCCTGAGAGCTTCTAGAAAGGCAGAAACTTAAGCTCCACCCAGGTCTTAATGCATGCTAGTCACGTGAGAAACTTGTTAAAAGCACACATTTCTCAGATTCGGAGGCCTATGTTTCCTTTTACCAGGCACTTCCCACTGACACCACTGCAGGTGGTCCTTTTACCGCACTTTGAGAAACGCTGCGGGGGGCTGTGTCAATGGCACACAAGGGCTCAAAGAGGAGGGGTTTGGCTCCAAACGCACTTCACGACGCCTTGGCCTCTGATCCAAACCAAAAAGGGCTGCAACTAAGTGAAGAGCTTCACACTCGGGGACAGTGCAGACACCCGGCCAGCGGCTCAGTGGGAAATGCCGACGGAGCGTCCGGAGCATGTTTTGCATCCCGATTCCTCGGCCCGGCCCTTACCGTGCAGCAAGGGCTCGGTCTCCCGCAGCTCCCGCTCCTTCTCGCTCAGCAGTTTGGCCACGGCCAGCAGCTCAGGCCCCCTGGGGGCCTGCAACTGGGACTGAGACTCCGCCTGGCGCTCCAGGAAGGTGCGCAAGGGCCCGCCGCGGGCGAACAGCTCCTCCACCGGCAGGCCCCCGCAGCTCCGGTGCCGGCGGGCCGGGGGCCACGGGCCGGGCGCGCCCAGAGACCCCGCACAGCACCCCACAGGGAGGCGCGGACCGCATCGCTGAGCCGACACGGCCCCGGCTGACCCAAAACCGGGAAAGTCCCCTCCCTCCCGAGTCTCGCGACAGGCGCGCGGGGGTTTTGGCAATAGGGGGCGCGAGCTGAGGGGAGCCCCGGCCCCAGGACACCCCGCCGGGTTTAAAGGGCCTCCCGGAACTTCCGGCCAAATCTTTAAATGCCGCAATAGTCCCAGAGGCCGGAAGTTGAGGGGGCGGAGCGGAAGTTGGTGGGGGTGGGTCCCGGAGACCTCGGGCTCCTCCTCTGAGCGCTGGGTTGTAAACGCCTCCTTGAACTTGGCTGGCGCGGCGGGTGAGCAGGTCAGCGAGGGGGAAAGTCGCAGGTCGCCACTCGGTCTCCTGACGTCGAGGGTTTTCTGGCAGCGCATGGGGTGCAGTCTCACGTTCGCACCGAGGCTGAGGTCACCGCGAAGGAAGCGCCCGGGCCAGCCTGGCCTTGCGTTTCAAAGATCGAATTGTTTGGAAATAGGGCGAGAGCTGACCTTTTTTTAGGTTTTTTTTTTGTCCGTCGGTGGATGAGGCTCATACTAATTAGGACATGGCAAGAGTGCTGGAAGGCAACCAAGGAGCGATCTCGCAAAATCTTCCTTCCGGTCCCTTATCTGCCTTGGAACTTGCTCCCGGAGGCCTTCCTTCCTCGCCAGTCTCCCGCGGCCCGTTCACACTTACTCCTTAGCTGCTTTGTAAGGAGGTTGTGATGCCGGTTCCAGTCAACCACAGGGAACAGCCTCCAGAGCCTGACCCCGTGGCCTGTTCCCCAGCCTCCCCCCAAAACTCTAGACAGTGGGTTGGGGCGGGGAATGCTGAATGGACCTTTGCACAGCCCACCGGAGGAGTGCCTCTGAGGGGGAAAATACCTGGCTTGCAAGGGCCTAACACTCCATCCGGGAACTCCCACGATCTCATTCTTACAAAACGAGCTCGCATTGCCTCTATGCCAGCGGTTCTCAACCTGTGGGTCGGGACCCCTTTGGGGGTCGAAGGACCCTTTCACAGGGGTCGCCTAAGACCATCGGAAAACACATATATAATTACATATTGTTTTTGCGATTAATCACTATGCTTTAATTATGTTCAATTTAAAACAATGAAAATACATCCTGCATATCAGATATTTACATTACGATTCATAACAGTAGCAAAATTACAGTTACGAAGTAGCAACGAAAATAATTTTATGGTTGGGGGGTCACCACAACATGAGGAACTGTATTAAAGGGTCGCGGCATTAGGAAGGTTGAGAACCACTGGTCTATGCATTCCTTAGCTCCACATACAAATGCAAAGTGAGTGGAAGAATGAGATGCATCTCCAAGTACAAGGCAAAAAATATGTTTTGCTACTTCAAAGCTCCAACTAATCACCTTAATTATTTATCTCAGTTTGAATGTGCATTCCAGCCACACTATAAAATTGTTTTCCTTTAAAGTAGTGGTTGAAATCCATCTTAATTCTGGTCCGATGCACAACAGGACTGATCAAATTGTTTATATCTCTATTAGGAACAGTTATTTCCCAAGTCAAAACTTTGAGTTCTTTTTTTTTTAACCACAGAAATGGTGGGAGTCATTTGAACTCAACATGATAAATCTCTCAGCTAAATTCTCAAAACAAGTCATTTCGAGAATATACTTTTATTTGTAAAAGGTGCAAAAATAACCTTATGGAACAATGTAAAGAATCTAGTCAGAAATTATTTTCCCACGGATGTGTAAGCAATTTAAGTAATATAAATAGGTGTATGTTTTACTCCTATGTTAAACCAATGAGGAAACAGTAACTTGTTAAGGATATATTGGTGGATTCTTTATTGATTCAAAACATTTTTAAAGTCAGTGTAATGCATGTGCATTTTACAGTAATATCCATAGGTTCACACAATATGGTCAAATGAAAACAGCTGTAATTTGATTTACTTTGAAAACTCAAATATACATAGTTTGAGACTTCTAAGTTTTCTTACATTATTGTCATGCTCAAATTCTATTACATTTGAAAATGCTAGCATTTTCAGTGTCTATTATACATAGGTAAAATGATAAAATAGACTCAAGAAAGAGGAAACAAAACCCAAAACTTAAATGGGAGGAAAAATAATCTAGATTATCTATTCAGTTTGTAGGTACCTACAGTTATTCTGGCTTTACAAAATAACCAAGCATGGTATCTCTTAAATTGTATTCATGTATTCACAATTTCTTTATGGCCAACTAATATTGGTGGGCTCCAAAATAAGGATATAGATTACTAAGTACAATGAACATGGTAGTAAAAAAAATGACATATGTTCAATATGATAAATTTTACAGAACCAATCACATTTAAATTATTTTTTATATTTAGCAAATATACTAAAATCATATACAAGAAACTGTGTTTATGACAAATAGGTTAAAGCAAGGGAAAAAATCAAGTCTTTTACATTATTTCAATATTCAGTGTTTATTGTTCATTGGAGGGCAGTATAGAAAAACTCAGCAAAATAATTATCAGTTTAAAGTACCTACTATGACAATTAGTAAGACTAACATCTTTACTACCAAAGAGATGTAGAGGATTAAGGTAATTATACTATTTTTAAGGAAAAAAATCACTTTCCCCTCCATTAAATAAGTATTCAAGCTAACACTGTTTAGGAATTTTTCCATTTCACTTTTCAGTTCATTGTATTTTCTTCATAGTACTTGTTAGCAGTCATTTAATGGAACCTAACAGCACTGCTGAGGAATCTGCTCATAACTTTTTTTAGCTCAATATAAATGACCAATAAATTTACATGCAATAATATCTCTTAAAAATCTATTACTTTACAGTAGAGAAACCTGACAAACACTACCTCAGCCAGATGATCAAAGTCAACATCACCAGTGATAAGTCATGACGGTGGTATGCACCTTTGATACCATGTGATATAAATGCCACTTTACTTCTGGGGTCTTCCTTCCCCAAATGGTAACACCTATCTAATCATGGGGGAGACATCAGACAAATTCCAATTGAGGAACATTTTTCAAAATGCTAGACCAGTGCTCCTTAAACCTGTCGAAGTCATCAAAAGCAAGAAAAGTTTGAGAAACTGTCACAGCTAAGAGGAGCCTAAGGACACACGATGACTAATGTAATGTGGTATCTTGAATGGGATCCTGAAACAGAAAAAGGTAAAAACTAAGGGAATCTGAAGTGTAGACTTAATGCACGGATATTGGTTTTTTATGTGACAGATATCTCATGGGTGTGCTGTACATGGAACCTTTCTGTACTATCTTTGCAGTTTTTCTGTAAACTTGAAATTATTCAAAAATAAAATGTTAATGCTAAATTTTATGAGCATACAAATACATTCTTTTATTTTCCTAGTAAAATTAATTTTAAAATCATACTACTCTAATATTAAAAAACGCTTTCTATTCCATGTTGATATCAATGTTTTCTAATGGCCAATCTCATAACAATTTTACTTCTACCCCTCCACCCACATATATATTTGGCAAATTATTTGATATTTGTATTCTCCCCATTCTTGTAAATGATTTCTTTTTTAAACTATGATTTAAACCTATATTATACACACACATCTAACCATATGTATCTCCATGTGTGTGATTTTTTTTCTTAATTGTAGATTCAGAGTGATGTTAGTGAACTGAAAACAGTGATTTTGAATCACATTATTGAACAAAGCATGACATTCATATAGTCCTCCATCTGAAAATAATCTTGGTTGTATTTTTTGGATGAATAACTAAATAATACTTTTAAAGTATGGTTTGAAAAAAATATGGAAATGCATTAAAATGGCATTTAGTGTATACATTCTTGAAAAATGAGAATTTTTATTGAGCTGGAAACTTTGTTAAAATAACACTTTATCCATGTTTATTTCATTTCTTTCTTATGACCATCATAGAGAGAATATTCTGCATTTGAAATGAGGAAACATGCTCAGGATACATGGTTTGCCCAGTCACAGGACAGAAATCAAATTTGTAATTAAAGCTTCATATTTGTAAATAAAACTCGACAACCTGTTGTGTGTTGCAAGGATATTATTAAGAATGTTTCAGGGAACATCTAAAACAAGTTTTTGGTATCAGTTTTATTGATAAATATTTTCAGTTGTAGCAAGTGAGGAATAGCTAAAATTTTTACAGATTTAATATTATTTTCTCAGGAGAACTAACATTGTATATTGGTCAGAAATTTATAACGATCTGAAAAGAGCACATAAATAGAAGCCTTTGCAAAAGTACACTTTGAAAATTAACCATTATAACTATCAACATAAATACACAGGCCAGAAGATTTTCTGGAAATAGCTTGACCACCTTTCACAATAATTTGCCAATGTATGCAGTGCAGAATTTTCAAAATTCATGTTTCATAGGGTACTATTTAAAGGCATTTTAGATCTAGGAAATTTAGGTGGCATTCACAAGGTTCTTATTTTATTTTCTGATTGTACATTTTTTCCTCGATGCATCTGATATATTGTATTTTTTGCAAATGTAATTTGTCACAATTACAATGACTTATTTTTTTCAGCATAAGTTAAAAGTGTATAGGAAAATAGATAAATTAAAAATTAAGAATCAGATATTATTTTAAATCAGATTAAAATGGTGAAAATGTATTTTTGCCCCTAATAAATAAACATTATCTACCTATTTCTATAGTCCTTTTGCAAAACTGAATTATCAGGTAAAAATAGGATAAACATTTCATTCTGTAAATAAGAATCTAGGCAACGTTAAAGGATACTTACTATTAACCACCCCATGCACCATGACCAAATATCAGAACTGGTCATCCTATGTACAGATTTTAAGATTTAAAAAAAGACCACATTATGGTCTTGATTTTTGCACTGAATAACATTGACATCAAAATTCTGTTTTGCTATAGTTGTTCATATGCCAGTGCACCTACTGCGCTTACAGCTGCCTTGTAACACTGTTGGGGTATCTATATTACCTTTGGGTAACATAATTATTATCTCTAGTAAGGAAGAAGTGTCACCCATCCATTACTAGTGTGATCTATATGCAAGATCCACCTCTGGCTCTCCAGTTTATTCCTATATATTCATATATAATCTATATCCTCTACTTTTCTTTCCATCATAGGCACTATAGAAAAAGCATTAACCTCTTTCTGTGCGCATTAGCAGATTCTAACAGTATACAAAGAGATCTTGGCAATCTGAAACACATGTGTACCTTCTAAAGTGCTCATTTTTCCTCAGGGAGGAATTCACTCACTGGGAAAGTCTAATTCTAACAAAACAAATATTGTGCTCTTGGAATGGTAGCATAGACACCATTTGAGGGCATTTGTTTGTTTGTTTATTATAGCTCTGTAATTAAAGCAAATTTGTAGAGTTTCAAATATACAGACATACTCTTAGATAGAAACTTTAAACATTTTGAAATTAAATGAGTAACCCTCCCCTCCCTCCAAAGTAGGAATTTAGCACAGAAATGCTACATAGCATGGTTAGGGACATCTGATGTGTAAAATCTACTCTAGAATCATTCTCAAAACAACTTCCTAATCAGGTTTCAAAAGGATATACTAACTTCAAAATCTGTATTCTACAAATGCCCACGTTACAGATCAGGACTCTTTATAAGGGCCCTTATCTTTTACTTTTGGTAAAATATTAAAAGTATTGTCAAACAGACAATTCATCTAAGAACCCAAAGTATCTTATAAAGATAACTTACGACTAGCAGGTCACCATCATATATAGTAACAACAAGAATATAAAGTGTACATTTAAAAGATTGATGCATGCAGTATATCATAATATAGTACATATTTTCTAGTCATGTGCACCAATTTATTGTGCTTCAAACACAGCAACAAGTATGATATTACAACATATATGTGTATACATCATAGTAGCATAATAAACTCAATTCTAACCAAAAAATTAAATAATTCAGGAACATTAGAACTTCACAATAGAAGCGATGATTCTTTTAGGTTTTTCTTCACTCTTTAGGAAAAAAATACGACTTTTTGTAAACATCTTTATCATTTTTCAACATATTACTGAAAACTATTATTCAAATAGTAAATATCTAATTGACATGGATAAAGTATGTCTAAACACACTAACACTTTCAGACAAAAACAGGCATTTGTTAAAAGAAATTATCATTATAAATATTTTCTATCTTGTATTTTAAGTACATTTCCATAAATAATGTGTTTAAAAGTGCTGAATATGATAGGATAGTCAGCAACGCCAGTGTAAACAGAACATTTTTGTTTTCTACTCTTCAAACATTTTTTAAAATCCCATTTTGTTAAACACTGCAACAGTTAAAATATTTGCATAGGGAATAGATAATAGCCCTTTTAAACGTATCTCCTGAATCCTATATAAATTAGAAAATTAAATTCACTTAAAAAAACAATTCTTAACATGTTTTAAGTTTATGGAAAAAGAAACTTACAAAGCCAACCTTTCAAGTAAAATAAAATTTGAAAAGAAAACCCAAACTTATTTTTTTAATGTTTAATAAATTAAAAAATGAGAGGTAGTTAAAAATGACAATGAAAACCTATAATTTTAATATCATCCTTAATATAAGGCCAGTATTTTCATTGGATATAAATATTTTTAAAACTTTCATTTTAGGCTACTCAATATTATATTTAATAAGTGTAAGATTAAAAAAATAGCCTCCAGGGTATATTAATATTTAAATGTAACGTCTTGATATAAATATGACTCTGACTTTTTTGTGTTGGTGCACAATAGGATACTGTTTTCTTGAATGTCAAAAAGTGCATGCCAATATCAGGCAAGTTTTTTGTCTTAAAGATTTAGTGAGACTTTAAAAAATTATATGGCAGCTAGGAGATTTGAGCACTGTACTGCCTTTCAATTATGGATGAGAATTAATAGTTTGGTTTCAACATTTTTAAAATAAGTAATTCTTAAGATACTATGTGAAAACAGTTAAGGTCTGAAATAGAGAATTATCTTCTTTATAACCCTTATAAAACTTGTGTTGGTTAAAAACTTAGCTTTTCACTGGATTTCACTTTCAAGGAAAATATGCCACAGGGACAGATGTTTTTCATCAACATTTTTTATGATGCTACATGTAGGCATTCCTTTATTAGATCCTTTCCTTATATTTCAAAACTAAGTTATCAAGCTTATCATTTTTTCTTGCTAAAGTACATACATTACACAACTGTTTGAGAACTGGAGAGCCAGCCTTTAATAAATTAATTACAGTATTGGACATGTGATATATACATAGATTCATTTTCTTCTGTTACAATTAAAAACAATATCATTCTTTGATTTGTCATTGAGATAGAAGATCTTCAAATTATTTTGTGCTTTTTTTCTCTTTTCATCTTATTATTTTTTACACAATAAATGCTTCTGTAATAAAAATGCCACAGTTTTGGCAGTGAACAACCAGAGGAATCCCCCATTGGGATTTCCCAACAAACAGAGATAAATAGCTCTTTTTTCATGTACAGATATATTGGCTTCAAAATGAGTGTACTGAACACAGTATATAGCATGTTGAATACTATTGTTTACAATTTAAAAATTGGCTTTGTCTGTCTTAGATTATATTTAAAAACGCAAACTACAGCCAACTTTTTGGCAATTATTTCTGTAAGACCATATTGCACAAAAGTCCTTAAATACAGATATAAGTTATGTCATTGGATTAAATATTACAACAACTACATGGCAAATGAAGCAGTTTGACTTTGCACATGCAGTCTCTGGAAATACACTAGGAGACTGTTCATAGGACTACAAATACAGTTTGCTTGCAAGTAGAATGAGTGTTGAGTAAAACAAACTTAATTTGGCAATTCATTGTTTTATGTGGTATTTTCTCCAAAGTTAACCATGGATAACCTTGATAAAAATGGAGACAAAGACCATATGGTTTTATTTTCACAGTAGCCTGAGGAATGCTAAACTGTAGTTCTCCAGGAACTCCGTGTCTGATGTTATATGACAACTTTTATTTCCCATCCCAGCCCTCCAAAATGATTTCTTTAAGTGAAAATTAAGATTCAGAAGTAGAACTGGCAGTACTTTCAACAAATGACTTATATATTTGAGAGTTCAAAAACCTTGGAAAAGAATCTCTGTGCATTAAGGTATATATCTGAAGTTGGGCATCTTCATACATGTGAGGATTGGGATCCAACAGATTTCTATTGATCACCTCTCTAACTCGAGAGTCAAGACTGACCTAAAAAGAAATAAGAGCAATACATTAAATCATATTTTTTTTCAAATTTTCTCAATGAAATAACTAGAGGTTCATGACACTTCAGAGAAGTTCCAAAGAGTGAATCCAGCTACCTAAATCTTAAGGTTATCTTTTTCAAGGCTATATAACCTCGCATACTGTTCTCCATCAAAAATTGAACTAAAAAACAAAAAGCAAACAAAAAACCAAAACATTGTTTTTGACACTTTCTATTTATTGTTGGGGTAGCAGAGAATTCCCTCCTACTAGCATGTGACAGCTGGGGCGACCCTCTTTATGGAACAAGGTAGATATCTTGCAGAGCATAGTCCTCTGGAAAATATTGACATGTGTACCCAATGCTGATAGTTTCATATCCCAACAAGTTCTACTTTGTCAAGAGAAGGAAACCAGGAATGTGGAAGTTCCTAACAGAGCAGAACCACAGCAGAGATTCTCTATGTCTTAGGTCTACGTGGAAAGGCCTAGGAAACTATAATACAGTCCTTCCATCGGAATACAAGCAAAGATCTCTGTACTAAAGATTAAGCAGAGGCAGCTGCCGATTTCACAGCCACTCATGGTCTCCTTGACAAACCCAAAACCGGAAGTAACCTCGGGGTCTTTTAAAATTTCAATTATAAAAATGGGCAGAATTTTCCTTGGTCATATTGGTGGTACCCATCTGTTTATTTTTGTGGGTTCTTCTTTTTGTCCAAACTGTGATATGATTCTGACCAACCACTCAGAACTCATCTCCACTCGGTCCCCAGAGGCCACTGGCAGAGCATTTCTTCTTAACAAGTTTGTTAGGTCATTAGCCTACAGTACAGGAAAGTTCAAGACCAGGTCATGCTCTCTGGCCACCACATGGTTCGAGATGTGAGCTGTAAAAACTGCAGGCTGGATCTGTGAGTTTGCCACTGAAGACAGCCGGCTTACAGGGAAGGCCTTGTGATCCTACAGCGTGCTCTAGTTCGAGACAGTGAGGGTCTTAAGGAGCGCGTACCATCTGATAACTCTTAAAGAAAAAGAGTTAACTTCCTCTCTGTCCCGGTCTCCTTCACTGAAAACAAAAATTTCATATATACACTGTCACCTTAGCATCAGAGTCGGATTCAGGAACTACGGAATAAGAGGTTATGAGAATCTAAGATGGAACATTTCTTCCTTTCTTTTTAAAATTTTCTATTTTCCACCTAACAACAGTGTGTAGAGAGAATATTATGCAGATGCTATTAATTTCCCCCCTACTTTTCCATCTTGAGGCAGAATAGTCTATCTGCAGCTACATGGTGGGCTGTGTGAGGGGGAAAAAATCTGGGTTTTATGTAAATTTTGAAAGGATAATGTGTCAAGAGCATGGTTTTTAAACTTAGCTGGGCTTCATTCTAAAACGTTTTTTAACCCAATTATTTCACTTGATTTGCTAGCTTCAGAGAAGAGATCCGATTTTGTGACCAGTGTTAAAGGTTCAGTGTCAGTATGGCTTGGGCTGGCCATTGTGCTATATTCTTCTTGGAGATGAATCATAGCACCAGAGCCCATTCTTCCTTGTCCTGGACCCAAAGATGTCACCATTCCTTGTTATTTGTCACCAGGTACTTGGTGTTGATTGATAACTGTTCCTGAAACGGGGCAGAACTGCTTGGTTGTCCTTTCCATGTAACTTAAACATAGTAATATGAGTCAAGTAATAGTCGAATGTAAAAAAAAAAAAGAGTAAGCTGAATAATTGCTTGAAGTGGAATCTCTGAAAGGAGAAACGTAAGTAGGAATTCAGAACACTCATTAATCAATATAATGTTATTTGAAAAACATACAGAAATTCTGTAAGTGATTCCGTCATCGTTTTTCCTCACTAAAGGCCAATCCTGTTGGAACGGGTAGGGCATATTGGTAAGGTAAGTGGAGAAAAATTAATCTCAGTAAGTACATGTTTGGGAACAGAACTAAGCTCTGCCCTGAAATGACACATTAGCAAAACCCTGCAAGAGGCAAACCATCACTGAGTCCTGATTGGTTTCCTCAGTCCTCACTGTTTTACAAGTAGTAGGGCACCCTGACCCACAGTTATGTCTCATGATGTACTCAAGTCTATACAAACCTTTCATATTTCTACCTAAATGTTTCATCACAATTAATTTTCCAAAGCTTTTTTTGTTCTGGCTTCTTGTCCCATCCACTGTTTCAATTACCCCCAGAGTTGGAAACAGTCCAAATGATGGACCACTCACATTCTGGTACCCCCAGATTTCTGAGCTCTACAGTCCATGTGGAACTGGGTTGATTGATACACCCTTGGGATTGCTATTATGGGAGGATTTGTTAGGAAACAGTGATCCATACTGAATTTCTGTGGTCTAGCTAGACCAACTTATAGAGAGAACAAAAATGAAACATCTCTTGGCTGATACACATATATATTCTTTGTCAGGAATTGTAAAAAGAAAGTGTTCTGTAATTATATCATCTGGGTTTTATTCTCTGTGTTATTGCCATATGAGGTGATCATCAAGTACAAAGTAACAAAAAGTACAGAAATGTTTCTCAGCTTTGTATTAAAAAATATCATTTGCGTTTCTACTTAACAGGAAAATGTTGGCATGGGAGTTTAAACTGGTTGATCTTATTCTGTAATGTGGTGTCATAATAAGGTGAAGTATTACCGAGTGCGCTCCACTGTTTTTATAAAAGGCGCTTTTACTTTCAAACTTGAGAACTTTTTGTTGCAATGGAGAAAGAAACGTTAGATTAGTGATAAAGAAAGAAGGTCGTTTATTTCTGAAACAATAACATAGTTGAATATAGTATAACATTTTTTCAGTAGCTGGAATGATATTAATTATCTTTTTTTAATCTTAAGATAGAGAAATAAAATAACTTGCTAAATAGAGAAAGTAGTACCATTCAATGTTTAGTAATCTACAACAAAAGCACATTTGCTATTTCCATATGAAAAGCAAAATATTTAGGAAGATCCAAGATGGCTGTGATGTGGGTGAAGCTACACTTACCTTCTCTCAGCCAAACTGGAATCACAACTAAAATATAGAGCAATCAACCTGAATAACCAACTGAAGACTAGCTGAAGAGAAGTCTTGTGACCAAGGATTTACAGAAGAAGCCACACCAAGACTGGTAGGAAGGGCCGAGACATGAAAAGGGCTGGCTCTGCTCCCATGAGTGGTGGCTGAGCTTCCAGAGGGATATCTCAGCTGCATAGGTTCCCTCTGAGAAGCATGGGGTCCCCAAACCAAGCGGGGCTCCCCAGCCCACAGCACCTGAGCAAGGAAGAGGTACACATAATGTCTAGTTGTGAAAATGGCAGAGATTTTTTCTGCCAGGGGAGATGGGAGTCTGCTAGAGACACAGGTGTCCTTTTAAAGAACCAACACACAAAATCTCATCTGCAGCCATTCACACTGGGATTCTACCGAGGGAAGGAAGAGTGGACTGGAGTCACAATAGAACAGACTGGGTGTTGTGGCTCCGGGGAGAGATCTGAAGGGACAGCCACCAGGATCCCTGTGCTGAGTCCCTCTCCCACACCACAGAGGCCATCTTTCTTGGGTGGGGCACTCCCCTTCAAATGGCATCAGCCTGGGGGAACATAATAGCCCCACCCTCTGAAATTCATGTTGCCCCACACTATGGAGCATGTCCCTGCTGAGAAGTCTATTACCAAGGATTTACAGAAGAAGCCATATCAAGACTGGTAGGAAGAGCAGAGACATGAAAAGGGCTCGCTCTGCTCCCATCCATGTGTCAGCTGCCTGGGCCAGGGTATACAGGTCTGGGCAGACTCAGGGGGTGTCAGTGATTGAATGGTATAGCTTTGGGGTGGGGTGGGGTTATTCTTCTCACTTACCCATGAACTACACTGGTGCCTCCCCTCTTGTGAGAGCCACTAGACCAGCGGTTCTTAACCTGTGGGTCGTGACCCCTTTGGCGGTCGAACGACCCTTTCACAGGGGTCGCCTAAGACCATCCTGCATATCAGATATTTACATTATGATTCATAACAGTAGCAACATTACAGTTATGAAGTAGCAACGAAAATAATTTTATGGTTGGGTCACATTTAAAGGGCCAGAAGGTTGAGAACCACTGCATTAGTCCCACTCCCTGGGCTCCCATTGGACCACCCTACCAACTCATGGTGACTCCACCCTGGAGAGGTCTGGGCAGAATCTGGGAAAGGCTGAGTTGTGTGGTTCTGGGAAGGGGCCACAATCCCCATCTCCCTCCAGGTCTGACCAGCACCTCTTCCTCATGAGAGAAACACTAACCCCATCCTCCTGATTCCCAGGGGCCCTGCCCTGCTGAGATAAGGCTCCTGGCAGACTCTGGGACAGACTGAGTTGTGTGTCTCTAGGACAGAGTCATTCTTCCCTTGGAAATGAAGAAGTAAAAATGTCAATATTTGCAGATGACGTGATACTGTATGTAGAGAACCTTAAAGATGCCACCCAAAAACTACTAGAACTGATAAATTAATTCAGTAAAATAGTAGGATACAAGATAAATATCCAGAAATCAGTTGCATTTTTTATACAATAATAATAATATATGTCCTTGGGCCAGAGAGACAAAAGAAAAAATAAACAAATGGGACTACATCAACCTAAAAAGTTTTGGCACAGCAAAGGAAACTATCAAACAAAATGAAAAGACAACCTACTAACTGGGAGAACATATTTGCCAGTGATACATCTGATAAGGGGTTTATATACATACTTTGTAAAATTTTATATAACTCAACACCAAAATAACAAACAATCCTATTAAAAAATGGGCAAAGGACCTGAATAGACTCCTTTCCAAAGTGGACATACAGATAGCCAATAGACATATGAAAACACACTCAATGTCACTATTCATCAGAGAAATGCAAATTAGAACCACAATGAGATATCACCTCACAACTGTCAGAATGGCTATCATTAATAAATCAACAAACAACATGCATTGGCAAAGATGTGGGGAAAAGGGAACCCTTGTGTACTGGTGGTGGGAGTGCATATTGGTGCAGCCTCGAAAAATAAAAAATGGAACTACCTGATTCAGCAATTCCAATTCTGGGAATATATCCAAAGAAACCTGAAATACTAATCTGAAAGAATATGTGCACCCCTATGCTCATTGCAGCATTACGTACAACAGCCAAGATCTGGAAGCATCCCAAGTGCCTATCTTTAAAGAAGTAGATTAAAAAACTAGAGTACATTTACACAATGGAATACTACTCAGTCGTAAAAAATAAAGAAATCTCACCTTTTGAGACAGCATGTATGGATCTGAATACCACATGCTAAGTGAAATAAGCCAGTCAGAGAAAGACAAGTAATATATGATCTCGCTTATATGTAGAATGTAATGTACAAAATGGACTAACAAACAAAATAGACACAGACTCATAGATATAAAACAGACTGACAGCCGTCAGAGGGGAGGCGGGGTTTGTGGGGCTGGGTGAAAAAAGGTGAAGGGATTGAGCAAAAAAGAAAAGAAAAGAGAACAAAACAAACTAGTTGACACAGACAATAGTACGGTGATTACCAAAGGGAAAGGGGAATGAGGGGGAGGTAGAAGATTGTAGGGGGGGGGGGGTGTGATGGATGGTAATGGAAAGGAGACTTGGCTTTGGGGTGGTGAACGCACAATACAATATACAGATGAGGTATGATAGAATTGTACACCTACATAATTTTATTAACCAATGTCCAATTTAACTCCAATAAATTCAATTTAAAAAGCTAAAAATACCAACTCACTGAGATCCACACAGTCTTACACTAAATCTGTACGCCCCCTCCCCCTCCCAGCTGCAGTATGTGTAAAAGGTGTTCCATAAATACATACAGGATGATGAAAAAAATGAAATATTTACCTTCATATCTGGTTGTTTGTTTGAAAAGGTTGTCGAAAGGAGTGTAGAGAGGTCAAATAACAAGGACAAACCCCGTGGGTCTAACAATCTATAGTTCCGTCTTGTGGCATCTCTGTGCTTCAGACTGTGGAGCATCTCTAACACAAGCGAGTGGGAGTGGCTCCCAGCATGGGTGCTGAGCCATCGTCCCCCTAGGACTCAGGAATGACTGGATGGCTTACGAGGCCATCGTGTGTGGGGTCCAGTGCAGGAGGGACTGAGGAGTTTCCTGTAAAAGCTCATTCTACAGGAACAGAGAGTTAAGTAGCACAGACAGAGCTGCCCTTGGGCCATGGAAATTCTTTTCTGAGTCCTCAGGGACTGGCATCTAAGTGGCAGAAAGGAGGGGTACAGTGCAGCAATGACAGAGTTTAAGTGGGACGGGGCACAAGACAGCGCCGGTAGGTTTGGCAGGATTTAACTGGCAGTGTTATTAGCCGTGCTGGAGACGTGGGCAGTGTTGAGAGGTGGCAACGGAAGCTCTGAAAAGGCATCGGTGACTTTGTGACAGGCCTCAGTGAACTTGGAAGCTTTCATTCCCACGGGGAGTAGGAGACAGGCAAGAAGAAAAGCAAGTGACTTGCACATACAAAAATATCCATTGGCAACTCCACCAACTAGTTGGGAGAAAAAGGTAATGAGAGCTAAAGGTTCAACATGAATGTGGAGGTAAAGGGAAGAAGGATGAAGACTAATCTTGCCAGTGTGGGTTGGGAGCACCTGGCTCACACTATGTTCTATACCATGCCTATTCCTACCAGCTTTCCTACCCTATGGAGGAGAACATTAAGATAGATGAATACTGCCCGGCTGGTGTGGCTCATGGTTGAGTGCTGACCTATGAACCAGAAGGTCATTGTTTGATTCCTGGTCAGGGCACCTGCCTGGGTTGCAGGCTCAGTCCCCAGTGTGGGGTGTGCAGGAGGCAGCCGATAAACGATTCTTTCTCATCATTGATGTTTCTATCTCTCTCTCCCTCTCTCTTCCTCTCTGAAATCAATAAAAAAATATATATTTTTAAAAAAGATAAATGATTACTGCTAAAAGGGAGCACACCAAGTTTTGGTGATGCCTTGCTGTGCTAGCCATTAAGATGCAATAGACATTTTGACTAATTTTTGGCAGAATTACACTAAAATGATGAATTTTCACTGAAAGTACTTTTTCCTCATAGACACCCCTCATTAAGCAAGTTACGTTAATCCTTAGACAATTTTTTGCATATCATGATTAAGATCCTCCCATTTTTTTGCATTTTATTTTTAATTTTACTGAAGTTGTTTAATTTAGAATTCTTTTTTAAGTAAAATACTGAAAGATTTTTTTCTTTTTTGGTTATAAGTCCATATTAAATTTTACTGATTATAGCTTCTGTCCCTGGATATATTCATTTATAAATTTTATACATCTAAAGCAGTGGTTCTCAACCTGTGGGTCGAGATCCCTTTGGGGATCGAACGACCCTTTCACAGGGGTCGCCTAAGACCATCGGAAAACACATATATAATTACATATTGTTTTTGTGATTAATCACTATGCTTTAATTATGTTCAATTTGTAACAATGAAATTGGGGGTCTCCACAACATGAGGAACTGTATTAAAGGGTCGCGGTATTAGGAAGGTTGAGAACCACTGATCTAAAGAATAGCTGGTTCTCCCATCTGTTTTGAGAAATTTTTACCATGAGCACTTTTAGCCGTATTTTGTGTCGATTATTTCTACTGAAAACAATCACAGGCGTCAAACACTTGTTGGCATTCAGTTCTTGGAGCACAGATCATTGGTAGGATAAAGGGCAGTAGCCATATTCTTGCTAGGGTTTAATGATGGGACAGTTCACCTTGCTTGTC